GCCACGACTCAATAAGTTACTAAATTAATTCTACTATTATGAGGGGGAGCATTGATTAAGAGGAGCATCAATTAGGGGGAGTTTTTAGAAAAGTTTATTGTACTAGACATATGTGCACTATACTTTTTTTTCCTTGATCAGGTTTTGTCTCACTAGGTTTTCTTGACAAGGTTTTTAACGAGGCAGTATGAAACACGTCCATCTTTATGTTACAGTTTCATTGTAGAGTTGTATTTATTTACTTAGGTTTTTGTCTCATTGAGTTTTTCCTGAGTAAGGTTAAATATAATCATTTGTAAATGGTGGATGTCCAACAGGGAGTATTATAAAAAGTGAACCTCCACCATTTACCTACTGGTGGAGAAAACCTTATGGTAATTAAAGTTGGGGGGGGGAGGTATGTGTTGGGGATAGACCTGGCAAACAGGTGGGTTTGGTCCAGGTAGCAACGGGTCGCGGGTTCACGGGTGAAAAATTCTGACAGGTTGACATTTTCATGATCTGTACCCGCCCGTGAAAAGTGCAGCCTTTTATATTTTTCACTGTTTTTCCATATTTTTGTTATTTTTTACTGTTTGTTTTTTTATTCAAAATTTCAAATTGCATACTAAATTATATTAATTTAAAAACCTCATATAAAATTCATTTATTAAACTTATTAGTTATTAACTTATTATATTAAATAAATGGATGATTAAATTAAATTTGATTAGATTTCACCAAACGTTATTAATTCAATATTAATATTTTTCATATTTATATCAAACTCCACCATATAGATAATAGAATTAATAAACACTAAACATACATAGTAATTACTAATTAGTAAATACTAAACATATAAAATTGTTTAACATTCAACATACATAACATAGTAAACACTAAACAATGAAACATATATAATTGTTTAACCAAACACACTAAACAAACAAAGCCGCCCTTGATTATGCAATCTCCTTCCCCGGCACTTGACTTAATGGCACAAGCAGCTGAACATCATCAATTTCATCTTCTACAATTAACAAAATATAAGTTAACTATCGTAGTATATTAACAAACAAAAATATTAAAACATGTGAAATATAAGTTAAAATGTTACCTTTAACTTCATATCCAGAAATCCATGTTTTGGTGCATATCAAAGACTCTGCATTCTCTGGTAAAAGTGAACTTAAATATTTACTGAGCACTTTGCTACCAATACTGAAACTGGACTCCGAAGCAACAGTCGTTATTGGTATACTCATCAGATCACAGGCCATCATCGAAAGTATCGGGTATCGATCACTATTTTTCTTCCAATGGTCCAGGATATCCAAATTGCAAAATTTGATGCGATCAAACCTTGCCTCTCCCAAACAAGTATCCAATTTGAACTTCCTAGCAGCACTAAAGTCACTCTTGTAGTAGTCAAATTCCTGCACCATTTAAATATTTAAATTTAATAAAGCAAAATTACAAAATAAAGAAAACCTTATTAATCACAAGAATATAAAAATATTTAGGGAGTATTGACTTACACAAATATCATCTCCAATGATATTAGGATTACTAGCTTGTACACAAGGATCCCTGGGAATCTCATTGCCACTTAGACCCTCATAAGCAGCAAAAAGCCTATACAACTCCTACTTGACCAACTCCAACTTTCTTGTTGCAACTACTGGGTCATCAACTTTTTTGTAACAAAACTCAACAAACTCAAACTTGAAACGTGGGTCCAGAATAGCTACAATTGCTAACACAACAGTATAAGAATCCTAATATTTGTCAAATTTTCCTTTCAATGACTTGCCATGGTACTAAGAACTTCATCCTCATTTTCCATCTCTTCGTATAAACGCACTTGAATTCTCCACACATTTCTGAGATACAAGTTTGCTGTCAAGTATTGGGAACCTGAAAAAAGAGTAGTGATCTCATAAAATGGTTGCAAGAACTTGCAAATCCTCACCCCTTATCCCCATTCTTCATCTGAAGGACAACTTTTATAATTGGGATCTATCAGTGCCAAATGAACAAACACACGACGGTATATTAACGCACTTTCAAGCATTAAATAAGTGGAATTCCATCTCGTGGGAACATCCATTCACAATCCTTTTGAGCTTATCACACCAATTGTTTTAACAAGTTCTCCAAACTTGATTCTTTTAGCCTCACTTCCTTTAACATATTTCACACTTTCACGAATTTTATGCAAAGCCACGCTACTCACCTTTAACCCTTCTTGAACTATGAGATTCAAGATATGTGCACAACATCACACATGAAAAAAAAGAACCATCACATAATAAAACATTTTGCATACAAAGTTGACTCCTTAAAATGTCTTCCATTTTATCATTGTTACTTGCATTGTCTAATGTAAGAGAGAAGACTTTCTTTTCAATCCCCCAATCTTTTAAGAAATCATGCACTATGTCTGACAAAAAGCCCCCGAGTGTGGGGGAGGAATATGGAAAAAATTCAGAATTCTACTTTGTAACTCCTAGTTCTCATCAAAATAGTGAGCCGTTAAAGAAATATACCCATCAGTAGTACAAGAACTCCAAATATCAGAAGTCAAGCATATTCTACCTGAAACCCTCTCTAAAGCAAGCTTAATCCTTTCCTTCTCCCTGTAATATATCTTTAAGCAATCTCCTTAGCAATGTTCCTAGTATAATGCTTAACTTCATGATTCAAATACATGTGGACATCCTTAATTCCTTCATGCTCCACTATTGAATACGGGTAATTATGTTTTATGATTCCTATTGCCATCTTCTCATGATAAATTTCTTGAGAAATCTTCAAACGTCTCAATTTAGTATCACAATCCATCATCATTTGATCTACACTACTAGTAATGGTACGTTTAGGACAACCTTCCATATGGCGCCTCATATTCTTAGTCCCATGACTGGAACTACCATGTGCATAAGACTTACCACAAATCATACACTTTGCCCTCACCTCCCCATTATCTTCTACATATGTTGTAAATTGACCCCAAACATCTGAAACTTTACGTCTTTTTGGACAAACAGTACTACCAGTAGAAGGAAGTTGACCTACGGCTACATTACGACCTGTTCCTAAATCTGTAGACTCCTCCATACCAAGCCAATTTAAAGGACACAACAAAGTATTTACATTTAAATTAATTAATCAATCATAATTCATAACAATTCGTCCAAAAAAAAATAAAAGTATTTGGAGAAACATGTTTGAAATAATTTTTTAAAAGTATTTAAAACATAATTTGAATTTTTTGTTTGTGCACAAAATATATTGATATAATACATATTTTTCTATTTCTATCTACATATGTTTTTAATATGTCCTCACATTAAAAACAATTACAATATATATCAAAAACACTGTCAATAGTTTCATCAATTATACTAAAAGCTCTTTCAAATATGGGTGCTGCTATTTTATTGGAATAATATATGTTTTGCTATAGTATTGACGTATTATATTATTTCTGGTGGGGAAATCACCCTCTCAAATTGCTTATGGGTTACAATTGACAAATAGCTTTAGAATCTGACAAGCACAAAAACAATTTATGAAGATTCACAAAAAGGAAATAAGAACGTTTTTTGGGTTTCTCAAACTTTTTGGACAAATAGAGAAATAGAAGGGAAATAACGTTGTTATATTAGACACAACTCTTTAATCCTCTATTTATAGGCTTTACATAGGCAGTTATTAGAGGTTTCTAACAGTCATGTTACCTTTTGAATTGAAAAATATTTTTCAAGGGCAAATCATCAGATAATTCTAAAAGCAAAAACACCCTACGCTACCTGTCGTGCTACTGTTGCCCTGCCCTACCGTGCTGCTGCTGCCGTGAGAAGAGATCTGCTACTGCCGTGAGAGAGGAGATCTGCTACTGCCGTGAGAGAAGACACTTGCTGCTGCCGTGACCTGACTGCTGCTGCTGCCGCCGTGAGAGAATGGGCCATCGTGACCTGCTGGCTGCTACTAGCGCCTGCTGCTACTGTGAGAGAATGAGGGAGAGTGGAGCTGCTGTGAGAGTGAGAGAGTGAGGGAGTGGAGCTGCTGTGAGAGGAGTGGTCGTGGAGCTACTGTGGCCTGTGAGAGAAGAGAATGAGCTGCTGCGTTTTTTGTTTTTTTCACTGATAAGTTTTGGTTTAAATTAGGGTTTGAGAGTGAGACTTTGTCACTTTGAGACTTGAGAGTGATAAGTTTTTATTTATTTTTTTTTTAAATTTCAAATTTGCATGTCCGCGGGTACCAGGGGTAGTACCCGGTTCACCCGCAAAAGTCACGGGTGAGCCGAGTACGGGTCATATTCTCATGGGTCGAGAGGTGTGTTATCCATACCCGCCCGTTGGGTATGGGTACCCATTGATCCGTGGGTATGGGTGGGTATTTGCCAGGTCTAGTTGGGGGGTTTAGGCTTCAATTTGTTGTCAATCTCGCTCTTCTATTTTGGAGAAGCACACACAAACAGACAGACTAATTGGTGTACCGTACTCTGTCGCCAGTCACCTTTCTTTTTACAACAACAAATAAAACCTCGCGGGGCCTTGCGGGGCCCTCCACTCTTCCAAGTTCAATTCCAGCACAAAACCCATGGCCACTATCGCCCACACCACTACGCCAGAATTTCCTAAGAAAAAAAACAAAAAAGAAAAAGAAAATTACAGCAGGTAAATAATTGGAGTAGTGTGTAAAATTTATTTTGTCCTGGTCTGGGATATTGTTGCTGTTGTAGTAGAGATGTTCTTCTGGAAAGGCAGTTAGGCTTTTGAGCATTCTCAAAAGCCAAATTAAGTTTTTCTTCTTATCTATCTCCTCTCTGTTTATTATAACCTCTTCAATTCAATTCAAGTATATCATCTTATCCCCTTTAATCATTTGTTTCTCATTACTTCTACGTTTATTTAATTTAATTAATTTTATGTTTGTAAGTATTAACAACACGTGATGCCCGTTGTTGAATTCGATTTTTCACTGTTACTTGTTATAAGTTTATGGACTAATTCTTGGAATCTTCCTTTTTATATTTTTATTTTATTTTATTCGAGTCAATTTTTTCTCAGCTGGATCTTTGTTTGTGGTGTTCTGATGTTTACGCTTGCTATTAACTTAATTTTTTTATTGAATTTTTTAAACTGCTTGTGAACGGTGTGATTTTGGACTGACCAAAAACAGAAATAGATTCTTTCTCCAATATTTTAAATTTTTTGTATTATTTTTTACAAGTTGGTGGCGAGGAGAGAATTGGGTTTAAATTCGATCTGAATTTCAGTGGTAGAACCAATTGTTTTTAGGTTAATTCTCTTCTTTAAATCTTTGTTGTGTATTCGATTTGGCACTTTAGAGCTTTATTCGTAGCAACTTTAAGGTTTTTTATAAGTGGTTTATTTTATTTTTACTTTTTTTTTTTTTTTTCTGTAATGATAGGAGATACTAGAAAAAGGAAATGAACTTCAATTGGGTTTCTTTTAATGACCCAGTAGTTTTTAATTTGATAATTTAGATGTGAACTTTGTTTTGAGATGCTTAATTTTATTATCAGATCTCACAAACTTCATTTGATGTTAATGATGGTTGAATTTATGTTTGCAGTAATTTGGGTGTGGGAGTTTATATAAACCTACTTGCAGAAGTTCTGGTTGAAGAAGGAAAGACAGAATGAGTCAGCCTAAAATTAAACGCCGTGTCGGTAAATATGAGGTGGGAAGAACAATTGGTGAGGGTACATTTGCAAAAGTGAAGTTTGCAAGGAATTCTGAGACTGGGGAACCTGTGGCTCTTAAGATCCTCGATAAAGAGAAAGTTCTCAAGCACAAGATGGCTGAACAGGTCTCTAAATTACTCTCTGGATGGTTACTGTTTCAACTATCATCAGAGCAATTTATTTCATGTTTTGTCAAGTTAGTAATATGCTCAATGCATAATTTTGCAGATCAAGCGGGAGATTGCCACAATGAAGTTGATAAAGCATCCCAACGTTGTTCAATTATATGAGGTACCCACCCTTTATCACGTGTTTGGTCTGGTTGTTGCTCTTTCAATTTTATCAAGTCCTGATTAGAACCTTATAGAAAATCAGTTCAGTTGTGAATTTCATTTGCAAAGAGTTTGGTTAATAATTTTGTTTGTTTTCAGGTGATGGGAAGCAAGACAAAGATATTTATTGTCTTGGAGTTTGTAACTGGTGGAGAGCTGTTTGACAAGATTGTGAGTTGTTGAATTCTTGATGAATGATATTTGTCTACTAGTTTTCTCACTTCAATTTTTCAAATTCATTTTCATATTATGGTATTACATATTGCATGTTCCAGAGTGGAGTTTGACCATTTCCTTATAGCTTTTAAATATTTGTTAATTGCCAGTTATGTTGCTTATTCATTTTTGCAGATACAATTCATTGATATTAGATTGCCTAATCTTTTTTCACCATTCATTTATTTACACTGTATTATAAAATGATATTATGATTGGATTGTGAAGGTAAATCATGGACGGATGAGAGAGGATGAGGCACGGAGATACTTCCAGCAGCTTATTAATGCTGTTGATTATTGCCATAGTAGAGGTGTCTTCCACAGGGATCTTAAGGTAATTAACCCTTTAAGATGAGTGTTTCTTGTTCTTCTTCATTTTCATTTTTCAATGTATTTGTTATGCCCATTGGCTGAAGCTTCTCCATTTCATTCTTTCTTTTATTGGTTTCTTTGCAGCCTGAAAATTTGCTGTTGGATGCTTATGGAAACCTTAAAGTTTCTGATTTTGGATTGAGTGCTTTGTCCCAACAAGTCAGGGTAATCAATGATATATGACTTCTGAAAATGCACTTCTTCTTCTTCTTCTCTCTCTCTCTCTCTCTCTCTCTCTCTCTCTCATGTTCTTTTTCTTTTTGAGTTATCTTATCTTCATCTTTATTCTGGGCGTGTTTGCATATGGTAGTTTGGCATGAGAAAATTCTGTGTAAAAATATAGCAGTTATGGAGCTGAAGGGTAAATTGATCTAAAGTAATTAAGTATGGATTGATTGTGAATTTAGCATTTTGGAATACTAGTGTTATACATCATACTATAACTAGGTATGAGATAATCCATGTAAATTTTAGATTTAAAAACTACAAAAATTATATTATTTGTAATCAATATACCTGTCTTGTTTTTCCCATGGTCTATCCTAGCAAAGTATAAATTATAAAAACCAAAAAAGTTTTATCATATGGATGACGTTGCCTTACCATTAGATGGTTTTATGGCTCTAAAAGAATTGGGCTATATTTCTTACTCTCAAGGTTAATGCTGCAGGATGACGGCCTCCTTCATACGACTTGTGGAACTCCAAACTATGTTGCTCCTGAGGTGTGGGATACTGTTCTATGAAGATAAATTTCTTTGACCATGTGTTTAAAACCTATGTTGCTTTGGCCTATAATAATTTTCCTGTTTTCCTGTTTAGGTTCTTAATGACAGAGGCTACGATGGGGCAACTGCAGACTTGTGGTCTTGTGGAGTGATACTCTTTGTACTGCTTGCAGGGTACTTGCCTTTTGATGATTCTAATCTTATGAACCTATATAAAAAAGTGAGCATTTCATAAATTCAATTCAGCGCTTCTCTAGTTTTTTCAACTATTTGGCATTCACTCACCTCCTCTATGTATAGATTTCTGCAGCTGAATTCACTTGCCCTCCCTGGCTCTCTTTCGCCGCCATGAAATTAATAACTCGTATCTTGGATCCCAACCCTATGACTGTAAGTAGTTATACTTTATTGTCATGCCATTAGATTTCGGTTTCATTACTGTTTTCTACATCTCAGTTATCTAGAGAATAGAGGCAAAAAGAATTTCCTTTATTTCATGCTATGACTACGGTACAATTTTTATTTATCTTAGACACCTAAATTCTATCTATCCAGTGAACATGAATGTTACATAAGCTTTGGAAAGGCAAAACCTTCAAATCTTTGGGTAGCCCTTTTCAGCACCAATGGATTGTTTGATTTAAGCTTTTAAATTTTTAGGGATGGTATATGATGTTGCCAACCTGCTGGAAAGACTACCATGCATGAGAAACTTCTCCAGGCTTCACTGTTATGAATTGTTAAATGACATACGCTTTATATATTTTATGACAACTGATCTTAAACAGTGTTGCAAATATCATGTGCTTTGAAGCTTTTAGATCTTTTCTCTGAAAATAATAATTTGACGCTACTGTATAAAGAGATGATAAATAAGAACTAATGCATTTAATCCTGGAATATCTAGTCCTTTTTTTTTGTTAATTTGAGGGTGAAACATTGATGGTGACATACTCTGTGCTTTACTGTTTTCTCTTGTTCACTGTCTTATAACTTTTTTAATTTTTTCCATTGGTAATACAATATTTCATTGTTTCTTTTTAGTGGGGGCAAAGAGTTGGAGATGCGATCCAATATACTACATATAATTATTAACATGTATATTTCTATCTGCTTCCATCTTTCTGTTTCTTTTGCTCCCCATCCTATTAAATATATAATATTAAGCATGGATTTTATGTCGTACAGAGGTCAAGCAATTTTGTGATTTTGATACCAAGGCACTATCCAAACCGTTGCCAAGGTCAAAGCTTGCCCCTCATTGTATTTGCTTGAGTTAATGGGTTGACTGCATGTAATATCTTATACCTTTTGCGACTATATTGGCCTGTAGACTTCAATATTGGCCAACAAACGTAATAAAATCACTGTTACTTGCAGATGTTTATCATTTTTGTAATGCTATCTATACAAAATTGGCATCCCAATTTTAGATCCCAACTGATATAGTTGTTGACGTGTTAGCACCATAGTAATTATAGGAAAGTAACGTCACTTATTACATCAAGCTACAACTAATGTAGCACTGTTACGCCAACAATCACATCAATTGAGATCCCAACTTTGTAAGTGTAGCATTACTCTTATCTTTTGTCTCCTGTCTGTTCTTTAAAAATAATATGGGCCTTTGTACTGTCTCCATTAGTCAACATAGTTTGCATGTCTGATTTGATTATTTTCTTTTGCAGCGCATAACTATTCCTGAAATTCTGGAAGATGAATGGTTTAAGAAAGACTATAAGCCCCCAATTTTTGAGGAAAAGGAAGACACAAACTTGGATGATGTAGAAGCTGTTTTTAAGGATTCAGAAGTAAGTTGGATTAGTTTTAGTAAAAGTATAGCTCAATATATATAAGAAATTGCTTTAGTATTCGCTGCTTGATGACGTGTCTCAGGAGGTTTATGTTGTTGGTTTCTTTAACAGGAGCACCATGTGACAGAGAAGAAAGAAGAACAGCCTGCAGCAATGAATGCATTTGAGTTGATATCTTTATCAAAAGGGCTAAACCTGGGGAATTTGTTTGATGTAGAACAGGTATGAATGTTAAAGCCATTCATGTCAGAAGTATAGTGCATAATTGAATCATCATTATCTTTAAGTTTTACTATTATTATTTATTATAATTTTAATTGGGTTTACGCAAGGTTAATTTAGCTGGTGTGTAAAAAATTATATCTTTTGGTTTTAAAGTATAGATATTATGTTAATTCACCGTTATATATATGTAGGCTGATGCACTGTAGAAATCTTATTTTCCTTTTTTTTTTTTTTATTGTCCTTTTGCGTTCATTATTAAATGACTAGTAATTCCAGGAGTTAATGGGAAAAACAATTATGCAAAATCAAAGATATCTATAACTTTTATAACCAAACCAGAATGACACACTGGCACTGGTTCTGACTTTTTTCTGTAGAGTAAATTTTTTAGAAGTGTATTTGCCTCTATATCTGAAACTATCGTTATTCCTTCAGTTTGGCTTAACCTGCTTTGATATTCATGTGAGTCAGATTGCCTATTTTGAACATGTTGGCTCCAATAATTATGTTAAATTTTAATATATATATATATATATATAGTGAAGTTAGTCTTTTTTGTATGACATAATTCCTTGGATCTCCCCTGAAATTTGACTAAAATACATCTGGATCCCATTGGTTCAGTATTTCAATGGTGACTGTCATTGCAGGGGAGGCTTTTGACAATATATTTAAAGTTGAAGGTTTCTCACTAATTTTACAGGGGCCTTACAACAATTTACTGAATTTCAAGGAAAGATACTGATGGATTTTGTAACTGGTGGTGCTTGCATTGTTTAAGCTAACTCTCATGAGTTGTCACATAATTTAAGCTTTTTCATATGGATAATGTTCTTTTCCACTATTCTAACCCAGTCAAAAAGAGGTATAGTAGGCTTTATTGATTTTATTTGCGTAAGTTGTTACAATGGCATATATCCTTAGCAAGTGTACCATATAATTGGTGTATAACTACAAATATTTAGACTTTATAGAGCTTCTCTTATTTGATGTTTTTTTTTTTTTTTTTTTTATTAATTCAAGTTCCAATAATTGAATCTGGTGGTGTTTACCTGTATTTAGCTTAGCCTCATGGGATGTGAATAAAATTTCGGCTTTTTATATAGATAATTCCCTTTTCAACTATTGATTATTTTAACCCAATCAAGAATAGGTTTAGGCCTATTGATTTATATGCATAGGTTGTGACAATGACATATTTCCTTCACAATTGGACCATATAATTGGTATATTTTTATTTTATAGAAGTGCTTTTTCATTGTGGGGTTTTCTAAATTTAAGATTTAATCATTACTGAGTGTTTGGCTGCAGGGATTTAAGAGAGAAACAAGGTTCACATCTAAATCTCCTGCTAACGAGATAATCAATAAAATAGAAGAAGCAGCTAAGCCTCTTGGTTTTGATGTTCACAAAAAAAATTACAAGGTGAGGAAATTTTTAAAAAATAGAGTTGGCAGTAATTTATGAAGCTTTACAAATATAACTGGTTTTTATTTTAAATAGATGAGGCTTGAAAATATGAAAGCTGGGAGAAAAGGAAACCTTAACGTGGCCACTGAGGTAAATGATGGCTAACCTATACGTAATTTCTGACATGTCTTCAGAATTTATTTTGTTTAAAGTTTCTTATTGTCAAGCAGATATTTCAAGTAGCGCCTTCCCTTCATATGGTTGAGGTGCGAAAAGCCAAGGGGGACACTTTGGAGTTTCATAAGGTATCATTTTTTTCTTTTTTAGGATTTATTTATATTTCCCCTTTTTTTGTAGCCCTAATATCCTCCTTGTTTTCTATCACAAGTACTTTTAATTAGTGTAATTAAACTAATTGGCCAAAGTTGGATGAGATTGTCATAAAGAAAGTAAATAACTTGGATTGAATTGAATGCATAACATAAAATAAAAGATAACATCAAATTGCATATTGAAGATCCAATCTAAATTGCTTCATCTTGATTCAATGAACAAACATTCGAATCTACAATGAATTGAAGTTTAAACCTTAAGAGGCTGAATAGGAGGCAGATTAAACTTACGTGTGGTACCACGTTCAAAATGTTGAAATGCATTGCTTTAGTTATGTTTAATTGCATCATTAAAGTTGCTCATGATATTGTAATTTTTTCGATGGTCGTTTAATGCATCTGCAGTTCTACAAAAACCTATCGACATGCCTTGATGATGTGGTGTGGAAAACTGAGGAAGATATGCAAGAGATGAAGTAGAGTTTGAAGAGTGGTGATTAGTCCTTCCTCTGATGATGCTTACCTTGTTAAATGTTCCATAAAGGCATCTATATCTTCATTCTTTTTCTCCAATTCCTTTCTTTTTTTTTTTTTTTTTTTTGGGGGAGGGACCATTTTTCTTTTTGTGTTAGATTAGAGAACATGGATTCACCAATTGTTTTCCGTGTTATTGTTGTTGGAAAGCGTGGATGATTCCAATAGAGATGGAGTTGTTTTTCTTATTATCCCGGATCTCAATAACGAGAAATTGTTATTATAAACACTTGTATATATATTATGTATATATACTTTTTATATATTTGTGGGAATGGCCCTATTTCAACTCATATATCTGAAATAAGAAAGAAGACATATTTCAAGTCCTTAAAAGTATGTTCTCATATTTTATGTTCTTACAATTTCAACATGTCATTATTAGACGAAGTTCTATTACTACTCTAACTCGTGTTTTATTAGACGATATTATATATGACTATACTTATGGAATATGCTTTGTGGTTGCAAGAAACTTGGATTTTTTACATCAGAAGATAATGGTAGTAAGCAGAGACATTCCAACAAAAATTTTGCAAATCTATTTACCAAAACATTACCAACATCAACGTTTGAGAAATCAACATACGATATTGGTATGCGAAGACTTAGTGAGCAATCAAATTGATCTATGGTTTTTTGCTATTATGTGGGGGCGCATTTTTAATGAAGACTGTTATCAGACACATGTGAACTATGTTCTTTTTCCCTTCACCAGCTTTCCCATTTTGTTTTACCGGCAAGGTTGTTGACGAGGCCGTTTAAGCATGTCTAACACTATTTATAGTTCACGAAATAGTTGTCTTTTTTTTTTATTAAGGTTTTTATCCTATTGGTTTTTCCTTAATCAAGTTAAATGTAATTATTCCTAAATGATCAAAATCCAATGTGGAGTGTTGTAAGACGTGGATGAATTCCCACCGTCTTTTCATCTATTTCGCCTACGTGTAAGAGAGACAGAAATCACCGATGGCTTATTTCTATCTGTTGTCTTGGGAAACCCTCAAGTTTGTGAAATATGTACATTTCTAAGAAAAAATGAGGAAGAAGTGATATGAGTACTCAAGTCCTTATAATTATGTCCTATTTTCATTTGGTCACTAATATGTTATATTCTTATAATTATAGTAGAAAATATTATTAAGTACACTTTGTTTTAATGGATATAACAGATGCAATCGTTACTAACATTCAATCATACATCTATACAGTGACGGATCCAGAATTTTTGCTAAGGGAGGGCCTCCGCTACTTCGTCATTATTTGTCAAACAATTTGTGAAAACTTTAAAAATTACCTGACTTTAAGCAAAAAAAAATAATACTATATCAAGAACTTGAGAGAAAAAAATGCAATAACACAATACTTTCCTGCTTGAATAAATCTATAAGAAGCAAAATTTTGAGTAAATTTGTTGAGTAAAACTTGAGCAAAACATTTTTTTTAATTTTTGGATTCTTTTAATTTTTTTTTTAATTTTTGGCTTCCAAAATTTAAAAAAAAAATTAAAAAAATGTTTTGCTCAAGCTTTACTCAAAATTTTGCTTCTCATAGATTTATTCAAGCAAGAAATCTAAATTTTTTATGATTTTGATCAAACATAGTATAAGCTAAAGTCAATCAAAACCTAAATCAAGTTAACGTTGCGTTGACTTTTAATATGAATTAATAAAAAAATGAAGAATTTTCTTGATATAAACATAGATAATAACTCAAATTTCTTTAATAATTTTGAGTAGCTAAACGGTGACGTTTGAAATGTAAGAAAGTGGTGGGTGAAGGGTGAACAATAATGTCCTTTAAAATATAGTTACGGTTTTAAATTGGAAAAACAGGTTTATTCTTATACACAAAACATAAAATAAACTCACAAGATGCATGTCTATTTCCCTTAAATTAGAATAAAAAACCTCCAAAAAAAAAAAAAAGCATGATTCAACTCTAAAATAAACTAAATTGAAATGAGTAATACATATACCTAAAACTGATAAAATAGAATAAGAAGCTAATTGTGACACTTTGAGTAGTGAAAGCTTTAACAATTTCAATCTTCAAAAGTTTTAAGAGCGAAAAACATGGGAAAGAGAATGAGAGAGTAAGGAATTTTGAGGATAAAATCATAAAAAAAACAGATGGAGCCGTGAAGAAAAAGAGTAGAGAAAGTTTCATATTTTTAATATGATGTGAGCTTGGAATATATATATTAATAACAAGTTTTTTGTTGGCCTAAATATATGTATAATAGATATTATTTTTTAAAAATCTGAGGGTGGGTCTGGGTATATATATTAATAGCAATTTTATGTGGGTTCATATATTAATATTTTTTTTTTTAAGAATCTGAGGCCTACCTTCAAAGGGGTTGGATCTGCCCCTGCATCCATAAAACTGTATTTTCAAGTGTTACTACAATAGGTTAAGAACCATGACTTCTCTCTTTATCTCCTCTTTCTTAAACTCTCTTTCCTTCTTTATTAACAATGGGTATCTATATAATCTTAAAGCCCACCCTTGCTGTTGATCGTCATTTGGACTCCACGTAGGATTCCAGTAGGATCTCTACAATTGTTATATGTGTCTGGCCTATTTGCTTTGCAGAAACCATTTACATTCGTATTGTCACACCCCCTCCCGGGTATTTCCTATCTCGTCAAACCCGGGCGCTCCGAGGGACTTAAGATCCTAAAAGGAGCGTGAATTTTTTGAAAACAGTTTATAAAAATCCATTCATAAAACTTTAATGACTTTAATACAACTTAAAATATAATTGTGAAAGTGTAAACATTAAAAATCAGTTTACATAAAAACAGTGTAGTCGAGTGTTCTACTATATACAAACATCATGTCGATGAACATGCGTCTGTGGCCAACCGAAAGCGTGTAACATGTGCCTTACGTATCCTGTATGCAATCCTGAGGAAAAACATAAAACAATGAGCTATGAAGCCCAGTGAGTGGATAATACAATTTATAAATGAAAATAACTTCAACCTTAAACTTGCATGAGAGAGCACTTGCACTTCACGTAACACATAACCATTCCCTTAGCAAAACCACACTTTCCTTTTTATAATTTCCGGACATGATAAATCCTTAATTCATATCCTTGTAAAAACTTCCCAATTTACCATAGATCATTGAATTATTTTCACAACAATCGATACGCCTATCATTAAAGTTGAGTAGGCATTTCCCAATATGAAACCTATTCTTACTCATACAAATGCCCGCCAAGTGTCCACAATTTCCACCTAACCTATACCTGCTAGATAATCATAAATTCCACCATAGCCTATACCCGCTGGGTGTCAACCAACTTTCCTCAAATCGTTATTACAACAACCACCACTACCACCACACTAGTACCCAGGGTCCATAATACAGACAACCAACTAGGCCACCCACAATCTATCCTCGAGGTGACACCATCCACAATCTATCTTCGGGATGGCTAAATCATTATAAGATAATCATACTTGACCAACAGTCTCTCCTCAAGGTGTCATGATATGGTATCATACAGAATAATCTCGCCCACAGTCTATCATCGGGGCATCATGTATCAATATCCCACCCAAGATCTATCCTCGAGGTGGTACCATCTACAGTCTATCCTCGGGATGGTATACTCATCACTGGATAACCATACTTGACCCATAGTCTATCATCGGCGCGTCATGATATGGTATCTCATAATATCTCGCCTGGAGCTCCTTAGGCGTCTGTACTATCCTAATGGGAAGCTACCACCATGTGGTAGTACGAACTATCTCAACACTCGCAGGAGGCTAAAAAAACAAAATACAGACTAACTGATGTCTAAAGATGGAAAGGTACTATAGAAGGGTGATCTTAGATCCAAACACAACATAGCCTTTCACTCCTAGCCAAACACATCCTTACACACTCACCTGCATATTCAACACATCACACTTCATACACGTCCATATGCCAAGGCATATAAATATGAGAACAACACTCGAACACATTCTAGAAATATCACAGCATGTAAAATCCATTTACAACCCATAGTTGTCCTTCGGTTAGTTTAGTCTTAAAGGCTTCAAACCTTACAATTAACCCCCTACTTGTACTTCAATGTTCGCAAAAATGACAATATGACAATACTAAACCCAAAACAAGATAACTTGGGTCCTGTTAATAGTAAGCCAGCCCACCACCAATTAATAAGATCCAATTACTCAGCCCAATTTATCCATTACTCACAATTCTTGTGTTCGACCAAGCCCATCTCTTTTTATAGGCCATCCATACTCCAATTTTTATCACACTAACAACACCATTAATCAATGGGCTCTAAATCTATACAACCCTTTTTAAGCTAGCCCACCGACTCTTAATAAATCCCAAATAAACTTCAAAGCCCAATTACTATATCTATCCATTTATACAACCTATATTCCAACCTCTATTCGGCCAACAATGTACCCCATAAACACACATAATCCAGTCACCCCTCTCAAGCATAAATTGAGCAAAAATGAAATCCATAATATATATAATTCCAGCCAAAACTCTAATCAAACATTACCATTAGAATTCATTCAAAACAAAAACACTCCTATTTATTAATCAAACAAACCAGCCCCACCAATTGACTGGATTTCTCTTCACTAGCTCAACTCAACATATATTATATACATGCCTAGTACATAATTAATTAACACCAATATAAGTTTTAATGAAAATTACTAATCAACTCACCTTTTTTAAGCCAAAAACCTTGATTCGAAGAAGGGGTCAAAATCCTCTAACGGTGCCTCTGCTTGTCTTCCTATGTCCAAAATCCAATAACCTCATCACGCAAAGGCCTCCCTCCCAATGCTTGACCTTCCTCCACCCTTTCCGATCATCAGAGTTTTACTCGCTGACGGTTACTTTTCCAGCCACCTCCATCGCTCTCTTCTCTCCTCTCTCTCTCTATTCTCGATTTCATCTTTCTCTCCCTTCTTTCATTTCTTCTTCCTCTCCTTCTCTTCTTCTTCTTTCTCTCTTTTCTTTCTTCTCTTCTTTTTCTCTTCTATTTCTTCTTCTTTTTGATTGATCACTGTTCATCAAAATATCTGGCAAACTTTCTTTAGTCCTCATTTGTTTCAGCTATTACACTTTACTCCCTCAAAACTTTCAAAATCTAAAACTTTAGCCCCTAAAAATCACTAAATAAAAGTTAATAAAATTCCATAAAAAATACGGGGTATTACACACTTTCAATGTTTTGTATAAATTTCTTGCATCCACATTCACATTAAATTCTCAAATTTTTATTTGGTTT